GTGCCCCTTCCTGGATTCTGGTGAAAATTAACCCTGTCCTGGCCAAACCCAGGACAATAGACTCTAAAATATAGACTATAGAATATTTTTATGTTATTCATACATTGTGACATGGACTGTAGCCTGTAGCTCAACAGAAAGTAAACTAGTGCAAATTATGTAATGAGTTTACCCTCCTCTTCTTTTTAGCACAATGGCTGACAATAAAGTGAAGTCAACCAAACCTGTGAATCCTGTCCTGGCCAAACCCAGGACAATAGACTCTAAAATATAGACTATAGAATATTTTTATGTTATTCATACATTGTGACATGGACTGTAGCCTGTAGCTCAACAGAAAGTAAACTAGTGCAAATTATGTAATGAGTTTACCCTCCTCTTCTTTTTAGCACAATGGCTGACAATAAAGTGAAGTCAACCAAACCTGTGAATAAGACTCCTCCAAAGTCTCCTTCAGATCCAGCAAAGGACCGAGCAGCAAAACGATTATCCTGTGATTCAAACAGCTCCCATGAGGGAGCTATGGCAGCAGAAGTAAGTGCTCTGGAAGAGGCCTTTAGAAAATTTGCCATCCATGGTGATACAAGAGCCACGGGGAAAGAAATGCATGGGAAGAACTGGTCAAAGCTATGTAAGGACTGTCATGTGATAGATGGGAAGAACGTGACAATCACAGATGTTGACATTGTCTTCAGTAAAATCAAGTAAGTTCCTTTCTGCCACTATTTCCTTGTCTCCCCAACATGTTTTCTGGATGTCATCTAAATCTATCTTCTGTTGCTTACTTAAGTTGTGAGGCACTGTGTGTCTTTGTCAGAATCAAACTCTTTCTTGTTGCTTTGTGAGACTATTGCTTTGTGTGAAGATACAGCTTCCAGCTTCTGTCCTGCTGACTTAAACTGACTGCAGTGTCACAGGTGTTATGCTGTACAAAGAGGTATAATGTGATCAGGACAAATTCCAAGACACACTTTCTTTTGAAACTTCAGCAGAGGATGTGAATGCTTCCTGAAGGATATCTGAATGAAGTCACGATGTAGTTTTACGTCTTGCCAAAGCTCAGCCTCAGAAGACTGATGCTAAGGTGCCATATATACTAAAAGCCATTATTCTAACAACAGTCCAGATGTCCAGCACAACACCTACTCAAGTTTAAAGTGTTATGCCAAACTGATGGTGAATTTGTGATGCAGACCCATGGCTGTGATTAATTGGTTAGGATTATCTCAGCTGTCCTAGTTTATTCTTGTGAGCAGACTGGAGCTTTAGTAAAACTTTCTCCCCACGTGGGAAACCTAGGCAGGCTTGAAATTCATCAAATCCAAGGGAAGACATTCAACTGTTCCGGCATATTCTGTATGAAGCCCCAAATAATTTTTTCTTTTTTTTTTGTTCTTGCTTTATGTGTAGAATTGGATTATTTTCACCTTCCTCCTCTCCCTGGTATCTGATCCGATAGCTTTGTCTTTTCTCCTTTTTATTACCACAGTAACTGTTTAAATTGTCTCACATCTCATTGTGTTGAGTGACACACTGTAAGGAAGGTCCCTTTATTGTACTTCTAGCTTGCAGGAGCATTTATTTGGATTGTGCTCTCAACTACGGTGATGTAATGCTGGGGAGGACATGCAAACCGAGTTGCTTACAACGGTAGTTGGGAAAACTTGCTACAAGCACTGAACCTTTAGAGTGCATCAAAGCATAGGAAGGCAGAGAAGAAAGGACCCTTGATCTTGAAAGGTTGTCCACTTTAACATGCACAGCTAGAATGCCCATATTTATTTGGTTGCTTTCTTTGTTTCTTGTCTCCTCAGGGATCTTATCTAGGTGACTGAAAACACTATATATGCACACTCCAACCCTCTTGTTCTTGTATCAGTCCAGTTTCTCTTTGACTTTCTGATTGTATTTTTTAGATTTTGTGTTGCCAGAGTTAGATATACTGTCAGTGAACGAGCTTATTTGAAGTGGATGTTTAGGTAGTAGGGTTGTTTGTTTCTTTCTTAAACCATGATAGACAACGCTGGCATTTATTTTCAAATTTTCTCTGGCTTTCGCGACTTAAAAATTTCTCTGTGTCTGTCATCACAGGAAATAATAAAACCTAGCGCTACTTTGTCATGTCGGTATCTGAACAAATTAATACTGGGACAACCCCATGATGTGGCATAAACAATTGTACAATGTTAGCAGGTATAGAGAAGTGTTAGTTTTGGTGCCTGCTGGGGTAGAAGACATTTAGTCCTGTTCTACAGAGGCGGCAGGGACCTGGGGCTCGAGGGGAATGTCAGCATAGCCCTTTGCAGCTGTTCATCAGGCTCAGCTGAGCTCGGGGATGTTCTCGTCTCTGCCTCTGTGAGGAGAAGGGCCAGTTTCTCAGACCTTTCTCCTGTGACTGCTGTGAAGTGTTGGTATTTCTCTTGGAAGAAGCATGCCATCTTTGCCTCTCTCTATCTAGCATTTAACAGTTTAGAAGATTACTGCATCAAATGCAGAAGCATTTTTACCTTAATTGTTGATTAATTACTTGCACGTTCCTCACCTGTACATGTACATACAACATGTATTTGATATATTCTTCTCTCTTAAGATTATTTTATTTTTAAATTAATACTGCTTAAATGGCAGCTGGAGAAACTTACAATAGCTAAGATTTGCTATCTTTATTAGGAAACTGTTTTATCATATGTATGCTTTTGGTAGGTATGCTTCCACTTTTTCTGAAGTGTTGGCTTTCTTTTACATTTTTATTCTTGAGAGCATATGTCAGGAATTCTTTTTAGTCTAGATCATATTTATTTCACATATAGTATTTTAAGTTTTAACAAGGAAAGATTTAATGACTGTAGTTACTCAAGTGTTAGTAGTATGCTATAATTTAGGAGGCTTATGCATGGACTGAGTGTACAGGATTTCTTGAGCAGGTTCAGATGACTGCTTTTCCTTGATTTCTCTATTGCTTCACATTCACTAAGCTAAAGGATAACGATAGATTTGGTGATGCATCAAAAAAGGCATACTCACAAAATAAGCTCTTACTCACTTCTGTGTTACAAGCAGCTTTTTCCCACCAGACCACTAAGGTTTTTTGACAACCGAAGTTTTTTCCTATCTGTGTTGCATGAAAAACATTAAACACTTCCAGCTCCCCAGAAAGTGCAGAGTATTGCTTCCATGCCTTAGTGAGACTTTGCTTATGGGTGTCAGAAGGCTCTGTACTTCACTGTTGTTTTTAGGTTCTTCAGCTGGACTGTGTCTCACGAGATGGACTTTGGCCTGGGATTCTTACAGTTGGCCATAGTCGTTCAGCGAGATGGGGCTGGTGGATCTTGGCAGCTGTAATCTGGCCAGAGAACACACCCAAAGATAAGAAGAGATGCTTGTCATACCCAACTACAATTGCCATCTAGCATTGTGGTAGAGCTTCGACACAGGTTTTCTGTTGGGTCTATTACTGGGAAGACACCTAGTTTAGCAGGGTTTGTTTTCTAGACAGCTATACTTACAGTTTATGATAATGCCATGTGTTGTTCAAACACTAAAAATAATTAGTAGAATTGTTCTTTGGATTTATGAATTGCTATGGATAAATAGTAATTTATCCATGGATAAACAGATAAATTTATCCATTTATGGATAAAATTTTTATCCATATAAAAAATTTATGGATAAAGACCACGTTTGTTGTCTTGCTAACTTTCCCAGGCTTCATTTATTGTCCTGCTACAGATACTGGCCAAATATGTAGGAACTGATATTTGCTGATAGTCCGGGTAAAGTAATAGGGGAAATTAGTAACAGATATGTTTACCTAAGACCTACTGAAAGACAGTGTTTTATTTTCTGACTGGTAACTTTCTGTGCTGCAGGAGAGATTTTATTAGTTCAATCCTGAGAAGTAATGAACATTTTGGTAGACTCAACACCCTTCTCCCCACCTCCGCCAAACCGGGGAGGTCTTAAGGGTCTCATAAATCCTTCCAATTTGGTGGATTGTAATATAAGTTGTTGTGTGTTGAAGACTGAGTTAATAGATGTCTTTTCCTGCCCCCCCTTTTTTTTTTCTTGCCTTACTGTTTTAAAAACTTTATATTGTCAGCTCAGGAAATAATTAAGCAGCAATGAATTTTGCAATGGAATGACTTGAAAAGCCAAATCCCACGTGTGAGAGGAGCCACGTGTCTGAATATTTATAAGTTGCATCCCTAAAGATCAGAGGAAAACCACCTACAGTTATGCCAAATATTTAGATTGCATTAATATAGTTGAGATCGACTGCAATTTCTATAATAAGTAGAAAAGTAAATTTTAAAATTTTTTTTTAGGTTAGAAAAGCATACAATGAAGACATCTTGTATATCATTATCTTTCTATGCATGTTGCACCTGAAAAAGAAAAAGAAATTGTGAGGAGTGAATTACAAAGTTTTACAACATCTTACGGGATGAAAACTATTAAAAATGCAGCAAAACCAACAAAAGTATATGTAACTGTAAATGCAATTATGTAGTAAGCTTTCCTTACTGTATTTTATAGTTTCACAGCCAAAACTTGAGATGTTGGACTCTTCTTCCTGTGTTCTTTGAACTGCATACAATGGTAATGCTATGGTTGCAGGGTAAATTTTCATTTCAAAGCTAACTCCTCGCTTGAAGTTACATAAACTCTTTTGCTAATTGGTATCAGGATAGCTTTTTCTCTTTAAATGGCAAAAATGAAGCAACCCCTTCTCTGAAAAACCTGCTCATATAGTTGTTAAGAAGAAAAAAAAAAAAGGCTGAAAATAATTTGTGGGAAATAATTTTTTTTAGCTGGTCCCTAAATTCACTGCCATACTTGAAGATACAGGTAAGCAACAATCCTACTCTATGAGAAGGAAAGTTTTCATAAATTACTGTGTATGAAATTTTAATGACAGGACCAAAAATAGTATTTCACCATTTTTGTAATAACAACTTTATTTTCCCTGTAGCTCAGTCTTCTGCTAAAATGAAGGGTTTTAGTATAAATATCTTAGTAACGTGACATCATTCCAAACATTCATTTTTCACATACTATCTGAACGTTATAGAGCCATCTTTCTTTTCTATTTCGCAAACTAAGAGTAATAATGAAATCTGGATCTACTGAATTTAGAGACACACAACTTGCAGGCATGCAATAGCATTTGAAAATGGATGGTTTCCATGAGAATGGGAATTCCATGGGTATCTTTATAGTAGCTGAAACAATTGCCTTCCTTCTTGGAAATTTTCCTTATTAACTGACTGTTTCTTATGTTACTGTTCCAGAGCTGCAAAAGTTTGTAGTCTGTATGTCTTGTTTTGTGCTTGCAGAGTGCAAATATGCGTTTAGTGAATCTTGTTGCCTTGGAGAAAGCAAGCTCTTTGGTGACACAGGAGAAGGCCACAGAAGTGTTCTGCGTTTGGTATGAAAAGCAATGTGTGGCTGCATTCATCTGCTTAATCCAGCAATACAGTGAGACACAACAATTGAAGAACTTCAGAGTTTTTGTATTAAGGAAAACAGAATACTGAGAAGAATAGATGTTACTGATCTCTGACCAGCATTCTAGCTTGTTGCCTTAGGAACTTAAATTTCTTTGTTTACTGGGGTCAACAACTGCTCTGGAAAACTTGATATGTCAGCTATGCCATACACATAGTCCACTTGTTGTATGTAGTTAATACAGTAATAGTAATAG